CAATCATGTGCCTCTCCAAAGGTTTGGGTCCCAAACTGCAAACCATATGAATATATGATAAGTTGTTCTAGCCTTTCTACTTCCTGTTTTCTTCTGGGTTGTCTGTTTTCCTCCCTCTCCTTGCACAGAACATTTCTCCTTCCCAATTCAAGTCTGGGATCTTAGGTTACAAGTCTGCTAGTGCACAAGGTTATTATCGACAAGTTTATTATCTCCTTAACAGATTCACAGGGGACCAGAGATCTGAGATCCAGGCCTGCCACAGGACTACAACTTTCGAGTTCTTTGCTTGTACATACATTGTATTCACTGCCTTTTGTAACAGATAATAAATGATACACATACGATATGACTGTCTTTTATTTACTAGCAACAAAATAGATAAAATATTCAACATACAAGACTTCTAATTTCCTTGAAGCAGGTTGTCTCAATTTTAAAGTACAGTCTTAATATTTCAACTTTCAAGTTACAGTTATAAACAATAGTTTGTTTGATAGGTTTGAAGCTGTAAGTTTCAAGCAACAAAAATTATTGCTTAGCTACTATGTGAACAATAGTCTAACCTGGGGCGGATAGAGGATGTTAGAGAAGGGGGTTTGAGATACAAGTACGGACTAATAAAGGCAGTCCCCTGTAGGGGGGCAGGGGGTCCAGGGGTATTCTTGCCTGGAAAATTTTTAAAATTGAGGTCCTTGGAAATGGGATTTCTGGCATTCTGAGGCCAAGTCAGCATGTTATAATGTCTCCTTTTTTTAATTTACGGGGTTCAACCAAACCCTCCGACCCCCCCAGATCTGCCCCAGTTTAACAGTTGTTTTGTTCAAGATTGTGATAGTGGCTTGATCTGTGTTAAACAGTGGCAGTGTATTCCTAGATTTACAAGGCCTGACAATATTAATCAGTCAGCCATTCAGAAAAAAAATTCCTAGTTTTTCTCACAGGGGTCAAAGCATATGACCTACATACTACAGTAGTGGGAAGGTTATCAGTTCAATTTGTAACTTCTTTTAAGTAACTATCCACTACTAAATGATATCATACAATGAAACCCTAAAGATAAAACTGGGAGATTGCGTTCATTATAACAGAAGTTTAATTGTTATACTGGGGTTCTGTGCCTAATATGTTACAGTAAACTGTTAATTATTATAATTTTTTGGTGTGGCTGAAGAAATACAGTTTATTACACTGGAGACCTCTGCCATGATCATTGGGTTCATTACATAATGGTGTTCCACCTCCTGAGGGACGCATCCAGTGCGTTCTACACTATAGCAAAGTTTCTATTAGAAAAGAGTTGACTGGCTGTTTACCGTCTCAATCTTGGCTTCTTCCTTTCATTAGAAGTAGACTGCTAGCAGCTCTTCCCCTCTTTATGTTTCTAGTGTCAACACTTTTGTTCTCTTTTGCTCACTGTTCAGGATAGTTGACAGTCTGGTATGCATGTTCCCAAGTGTAGTGGGTGATATATCCATCAGCAGGTTAAGATCCTTGATCCAGAAGTGCTTAAGGACTTTCTGCTGAAGTGCATCTCGTAAAAAAGTAACAAACTCGGTAAACCTGTCTGCTAAGTCATCTTTGCGCCAGTCATCGGTTGTTTTGTTGTACCAGAGCAGAGCCATCTTGAGGTGAAAAGATGTTAAACTGGAAAATGTTGGTTCTCGATGGAGGACTGTGTCAACCACCTTGAATAAGTCGTGGCGACAGCCATGATCTTTGTCCATGTCTTTGAGCAGCATCTTCTGTGTCAAGGTGTAGGACTTGCTCCACGCTGTATCATGGACCACACCCTGTGGAAGATACCCATGCTGACTTGGAGGAGGGACAAAGTGATCACTGCCAAGTTGAAATGCCGGGACAAGCTGAACCTCTAATACCTTAGACTGCTCATGAATCTGAACTTTAACACCTGCACTGCAGCTGGAAACTTTTAAACCCACAAATGACACTTCATCCTTGCTGATACTCTTCACAGCAGAGTTGACTAGTTTCAAAAGCCAGTTTTTGAATTTCATTGGCATGAGAAAGCCATCTTCATTGGAAAACGCTTTGTAAGGGGAATTTTCTAATGACTTGATGACTGCATAACCAGTCTCGTTCACATCAGAGGAAATGAAACCTTTTTTTGCTTTCAAGGCAACAAGAATGATAGCATCACCGTCATCAGGGCCTATGGTTTTCAAATTCTCATACAAACTTCCACCGTATTCAAACCTGCTGACCAGATCAGAATTTTCCTGGCAGTATTTAAGCACCCCATCCTTCAAACTCTGGTCAACCACCTCCTTTGACCACTTGATCTCTTTACTAAGAGTTGCACCCAGATTGTCCAGGAGTCTTCGCAGAAGCTGCAAGAGATCTGTAGGAGTCTGGGACGTGGTAGGCGGACACTGCTGCTGCTTTCCTGGTGAAGGAACAGGGCAGCTTTCTGGTGTCTTGCCATTTGAAGCCAGTTGACCTGAAGCTGAGTTGAAAGAAACAATTTTTAGACGTTGAATTTTTTGCAGACTGTGCTACAAGAGAGCAGCCAGGCTATAATCAGATTACTCTTAGGGAGGGTCTTGGGCAGTGATGTGACTGAGGATAGGGAAGGGTAGAAAAAAATTCTTTTTCCTGATATTTGAGCATACCCACCCCCATCCATCCCCTTAAGGGCACTTCTAGTTGCATAACTGACTATAATTTGCAGCTTCACGTGATTAAATTTATATTACTTACGCTGACATTTGAGGACTTTATCTCTCTCTTTATCATTGTCCAAAATCCGGCGCAAGCGATCAGCCATGTTCTCCAGTGTTTTACTTGGTATATTATCCAGCAGATTAACTCCTGTCACCCAAAAATGATCAAGAACTTTGCTGTCCACGGCAGCATACAGCTCTTCCAGGTATTCGATAAATCTCTCTCCCAGCATGTTGGCACCCCACGAGAGCTTTGGATTGGAATTGTAACGTAGAAAAACTGTTTTTAAATGGTAGCTGGTCAATTTGGCAAAAGTTGGCTCTGCCCGAATCATGGTTTTTACAATTCTGAGCAGTTCATGCCTACAGCCGTGATCTTCCTTGTCCATTTCTTGCAATCTTGCTTTTTCCTTGAGTGAGAAGGACTGCCGCCAGAGAAGCTTGGGATCACAAGCTGGTAAATTCTTCCCTGTGTACGTTTTTGCAACAAAGTATTCCGTGGGTCCTAGCTGAAAGGAAGGCACTAAATCAGCTGACAACTTCTTTCCTGAATCCTTGTCAGTGATGTCTAGCTGCACAGCAGGGCCATGTGCACGGACCTCCAGCTCAACAGGCAATGCAGGACTCTTAGCTGTGAGTTCATTCACAGCCTTTTGAACAAGACCATAAAACCAACTCGCTCGCAGCTTCTCTGGGATAATGAAACCATCTATGTTGCTGTATTTTTGAAGAGGTGAATCTTTTTGCGCCTTTAGTAGCACAAACCCAGGGACTCCACAATCTTGTTGGATCACTTCTTCCTTGGCTGTCTGTAACACTACCATAACATCAACCTCGTCAGCTGCTTCTGTCTTGAGCCTCTCATACAGACTCCCTGTATATTCATGCTTGCTGATGGCAAGGGGAGAATTACTGGAAGTAAATTGCAGGATTTCATTCTTGATGTAACTGTCAACTAGTCGCTTTGCCCGGTCTGTGTCTTCTTTCGTTATTTTCACATGATCTACAGAGTATCGCCGTAGTTTCTGAGTCAGTGAACTTCTGTCGCAGCTCTTCTTTGCTTGAATCATAATAAAAAAGCTGGAACACAGAGAATTGAAAAATTATTGATTATGTAAGTGTGCCCAATGGACTATAGTCTTAGAAAAACAGTGACAATCATTTTATGTATATAGGTAGGAAAAAAGAGATATCTGCTTATAATTTGAATACATATGTCATAGTCTATAAACCTTGTTAAGAATAAGGCTAGGAGCACTGTTTGATCTCTTTTAAAGCTCATGGTCTACGCCATCTTAAATGATTTCTTCAGAATATAGAGCAACGTTTTAAAAACCGGTTTAAGTTTTATCACTTTAGGAAATTATAAGCGTTTTGTTCTTAACATTTCGAAACTGAAAGGCATTACATATTAAGGGATTTCCCGGATTCTTTCACCAAAAGAAACTGAAAATAATGTAAAATGAATTTAATGTAAATATAGATCCATTAAAAGCTGTAAATTAAGGTTCGTTATTTTATCTAGACAAAGTGTGAAACTAGACTTCTGTGAAATACTTCTTGGCCATAAATTCGAAAGGTTTAAGCTCCACGACATGTAAATTATCACCAGGTGTAAATCGATAAATACAATATCATTACAGTGAGTTTTCACTTGTGTTAATGAAATATTCAGGCCTCGAGCAGTTTTCATTTCACGAACTCGCGAAAAAGGTTCACTTACTTGGGTTGTTTTCAGTGCTTCCTGCCTTTTACGGCCAATTTTCTTTGATTTCAGACAGCAAACAACAAAAACCGCTATTAACAGCTCTTTAAGGGAATGGTATTCTGAAAGCGAAACGAAGCAAGGGGGTTTGTCCCACTTGTCGTTACCACGTGGTTTTTCCGAGAAAACAGGCATTGACTTCCGGCATGATGTCAAATTTGATTGGTCAATACGTACAATATCAAGGGTTTATATTGTATGTAAAAACTAAAATTTAGGAAAATGAAACATTCAGGTTAATATTTTGGTTTACGGAGGCTGAAAAGTTGAAATTTTCGAATCATCAAAATATGTTCTTGATCTGCGTACTGTGAGGCGCATGACCGAAAAAATGGTGCAGGATTTGAATAAAACACAGTTTTATTCACTTTTTGTTTTTAAAAACCGGGTCCTTTGGGAAATGGGAGTTGAAAAATAAAAGAAGAAAAGCTGAGTGACAACTAGAAGGGGAACATCTTCAAAAGATCGTAGATGAAGCAATGCA